CCCCCCAAGTTCTCCCTTAGCTGTGTAGGTGGACAGGTGCCTCTCTGAGGAGAGTTCTCTATTTCAATATGAAAGGACAAGATACTTGGTTGACCTTTGGCTAACTGGTACTTGTTCTTTGGTGAGATGGGGTGGAGTGGTTCTTGCATAAGAATACTTCAGGGGAAGGCCTGGCTGGGAGTGGGGGTGAGGTCTGAGGGGTGGGGGTATGGGTTCCTGGATTAAGAACCTGTAGGTTTCTTTTATTGGCAGAGCCACCCAGTTTGCTGTGCATATGAATCATAGTCCTGACTTTGGCAGTTTAACCTTTTAACTAAATGCAGCCATTTTGGGTTAGGGGGTGCAGTAAAAGGAGCACAGATGAGACTCATGGATTCCCATCCAGATTCCTGCCAGTCCTTTCTGGGCATCCATGGGTGGGTTGTACTAACCTGTCTGAACTTCAGTGCCCCCTGTATTAAGTGGGGATAAATCTCCTATCTTAAGCACTGTGGTAGTCACAAGCATAGGTGTAAGGCATTTAGCACACAGTAGGTGCCTGATAGATGAGAACTATTACTTTATTACAAATAGCTGGCTTGCCAGAAGAGGTTAGGTCCATTTTGTTTTCTAGGCTGAGTTTGTCCAATGAAAGCTGGAAAGGAGGGGCTGAGCCTTTGGGAGACATGGTGCTGTTAGCACTGAGCATTGTGCACTTGCCGTTGTGTACACAAGTCATAATTAGTAACCCGATCTTATTTTATTTTTCAACTTGCAGCGTATTTTGGGACCTTTACTGTGCAGCTCCTGAAAGGCGAGACACTTGTGAACATTCAAGTGAAGCAAAAGCCTTTCATGATTACGTGAGTAACAAAATTTTAATCCTGGCAATAATTACAGGGTTGGATAGCTCTAACTTCTTTAGGACCAAAAGCAAATACACGGCCAATTGGCAGTGGGTTTTGTTTTCTCCTTGCCTTTCTTCTCTGCCCACCTCTTTGCTGCCCTCACCCTGTACCCTCCTCCAGCACCGTTCTAACTTGGTGAATGGTGTTTCATAATGTTGTAATTATGCAAAAGAGTGTGTAGATACCTATCTGGAGAATTAAATGGCGTTGAGCAGGGCTCAACCATGTGAGGTTTATGTTCAGAGTGGACAGTTAACTGGGAGGGGACTGAGCCTCTTTGGTGATGGTTTAAGAAAAAAATGGACCACAGCCAAAAAGAAATAAAAAGCAAATATGAAATTTGTGTTTTGGAGTAAAGGGGTGTTAAGTGAGAATTCGATGAACTGAACTCTTGCATTACTTTCTAGGGAGTGATTTTTAAAATTATGTTTTGGGTGCTTGTATTTTGTTTGGTGGGGGAACTCATGTTGTGTCCACTGAGACATACTTTGAGGTCTTTGGCTGGTCCATAATCCTGAGTTCAAAATATTCTTGTGACCATAGTTAATGTCGTCACATTGTAGTGCTTTCTGTCCTATTTTCACCCTCTACCTGGATGAGTTTCTTAAAGTTTATGAAATGCTTATAGGAGAGATGCCTAACCTATGCCAGTCTTACACAGCAGTCCCCGTCAAAAAAAAAATTGGACTCTAAACCAGAGTCCAAGTCTGGTGTCAGACTTTATGATTGGATGAAACAAGTTAGGATCTTCTGGGGGAGATGGAAGGGAAGTGTCTGAAGATCTTCCCAGCTTCCTTTCAGTCTGCTTCCCATTGGGCTTGGAAAAGGTTAAGTGTGTGTGTGTGCCTGTCTGCACACACATCTGCACATAAGAGGTGATCTGTTTTGTCTTATATTTCTACATGAAGTGGAAAGAAATGGTCCCTAAACTTTGGGGCATGGAAGTTAGTTTTCTGAATGTCATCGGGGCCCACCCACTTAGCCCGGCCATTTGTGTCCCCTGCATGCAGAGTTTGAAACTGGCCTAGGAGACCAAAACCCATCTGTTTGAGTTTCGCAAGTGGTCAAATCCCATTACCACGAGTATCCTTATGGTGAAAATTTCTCCTGTAATACGAGGAGTTAGAGACTCAGCTGGAGGCGGCCTGGATTTGAGAATATTCAATGTGATGAAGTTCTTCCATGACTGAAAAGTTAATGCCCTTTGAGTGGTGTGCTGAGGAAATTCACCAGTTCTCATGTCCTCTCTAGGGTTGAGAACGAGAAGCTGGTGAATGGTACTTAATGGCCAGGTGAACTTTTAGTAGTGAAAGGTGAGGCGACTTGTTCACTTGTGATGTGGCTCTTCTGGGAACATCTGTGGTGATAATCATAGGGTTTCCTGATCTGGAGTTCGGGGAAGGAGGCTAAGAGGTATATTAGCCATAGAAAAATAGTTGGTGAATTTGACCTTTCTACCTAGTAAAAGTCTTGTGCTTTCTTTTTTTGTTTTTAAATCTACGGACAGCCAGTTCCTTTGTGGCCAGTCTTCGACTGCTATGCAAATGGTTTTATTTTAGAGTGGGGGGGGATGGGTAGGTGTGCCTATTTCAAGTCAATCTTTTGATATAGGTGTCTGTGCTGTCTTTTGAAGCTGTCTTTCAGAGAGGTTAATGATTTTTAATTACGTTTAGTGCTCTAGTAACTAATGTGAGACACTCTTTGGCATTTTGTGGTTTGGTCTGCCATCTTGAAACAACATGGTGACCATGAAAGCTTTCATGGGATTGCATTCAGTAATTTGTTAAGGAATGGCAGCAGAATTGTGTAGAGATTTCTGAGGTTAGCATAGGTATTTAGAAGACGCTACCAAGAGATGAGGTCACATTGAGGCCCAGGATTCACAGATTTTAGGGTCTAAACCCTTTTTTCTGGGTTAGAATCCAATCCACCTGCTGTTATGTGGCGGTAGAGTTAGGTCATGTGGGAGGAGGGATGGAGTGACGAATGGGGCAGGAAAGCAACGTCTCTATTGTGAAAGGAGTTAAGGGTTGCTGGGAAGACAAAGAAACAACTGGAAAATTAAGAACTAATCAAGGAAATTAAGAAAAGGAACCCTCTTTTATCTTTGTCCTTCTTAAACCTTCATGTGTTCTCTTTATTCCCATGGCTACCATCTAGTTAGCCCATCTTCCTTCTTGCTAGAATTACTGCTATAGCCTCTTTCTGGACCCTTGTCTGGAATGCATGCCTCTCTTACCCATTCGCATCCTCTCCATCTTTTAAGTTCTCTGTTGTGGAAGACTTTTATGATAGTTTTCTGCACACTGTGTTTGCTCCTTAATCTCAGTGTCTATAACACGCACCTATACAAAATCTTTGTTGGCAGCTTTCCATGTGCTGGGCCCCTGTGCTGAGTGCTATAGGTTCAGTGACCCTGTGAGAGAAGACATGTTGTAAACTCCATTTTGCAGATGGAGAAGCTGAGGCACAGAGGTTAACTCCCAGCTGGTAGGTGGTAGAATCAGGATCTAAATGCAGGTTATAACCGACTCGCGGGTCAGTTCTCATATCCGCGCCAAGGCTCAGCCTCACAGGTCCATGGCGTCATTTGCCTGTACCTGTTCTGACTAACTTCTCTTTCAGGTTTGTCTTTCCGACCACAGCTTATTAGTTTTTTCCATGCCAGAGACCATTCATCCACAGAGCTGTGCATCTCTGTAGCTCACAACATCTTGCACATAGTAGGCACTCATGCGAATTGAATGAAGGGCTAAGGAATTATATAGGTAAGAAAAAATAGGTAATTCGGGGTCAGTAAGTAACCTGGTCTGGGACATACAATGGAATACTGGAGGATGTTCTTTCAGTGACTTCATTTTTTTTTTTAAAATATATCTTTATTGATTTCAGAGAGAGGAAGGGAGATCTCCGGGGGAGAGAGAGACAGAAACATCAGTGATGAGGGAGTCATTGATCGGCTGTCTCCTGCACGCCCCCCACTGGGAACCAAGTCCAAAACCTGGGCATGTGCCCTGACTGGGAATTGAACCGGTCAATGCTTAGCTGCTGAGCCATACCAGCCGGGCTCGGTGACTTCATTTTTGCTGGGTGATCTTGAGCCAGGTGATTTAATGTGGGTTAACTCGTTACCTTAAATCCTTTTTAGAAGATGAAATGGAATGTAAATAAGAGTGTGCAGTAACTGGCCTTTCATTTTCGATCAAGGAGATTCAGAGATTCTCATGGTTTGTCGGGGAATCTGCGTAGCCCAGGTACCAGGTTCGGGCCTTGGTGGGTAATAAGTAGTGAGTACTTGCTGGGCAGGGATGAGAGGGAGTGCCTGATTCCTGCAGGGCTGGAAAGGACCTCTATCCATTGGAAGATCCTCGCCTCAGCTTTCTGAGGGAAATGATTTTGTGTTCCTGGCGGGTTGTCTCCTCTTCCTGATGGATCAGGGTGATCTCAAAGGCTCATCTCTGGCCAAAGACAGGCTACATAGAGCCTGGAATGAGCTGGATGACTCAGCGGGGAGGGGGTTTAATTTTTCTTTGAATTGGTGAGTTTTTGTTTGAGTCACAGTCTATTTTCCCCCACACATCTGGCAACTTCAGATTTCTCGGCTCATTGTTCATAAGTCTGAGCACCCTGATATGGACCACATATAATGTGGAGTGTTGCAGGATTTGGTACCTGGAGTGGACTTTTCGGAGAAATTGGTTTGTCTGTAGTCAGAAGAGCCCTGAGGTCATAGACGAGGTTCACAGGAACCTTGCCTATGGTTTCCTTTCTGTTCCTCTCCATCCAGAATAATGGTTCTGAGAGTGTTGGTGAAAGCCATTGGGGTCCCATCGGGATTTCTTAGACTCTGTTGTCTGGGTTCCGGCCTTTGTGGAGCAGACACTCCTAATTGCCAACTGTGTCTCTCACTGCGGAGCCCAGTGGTGTCCTGGCGACCTTCTTTGCAGGGTCTGTGGGCTTGGTAGCAGTCCTTTCCCTTCTTGTGGTAGCTAATTTTATGTTTTCCTTTTGGTGGCAAGAAATGAGTGGAGTAGATAAGGCCCTGAAGTGGCGCCTGAGTGGAAGGTGTAGAGAGCAGTGATGGTTTCATGCATAGCTTGTGTTGCTGTACTTTTCATAGCGCTTTTTCAATATGTGGTTGTGGTTTGGCCTCACCGCTGCCTGTTGGTCAGGTTTTATTAAAGTCTCATCCCCATTTTACAGATGAGGAAACTGAGACTTGGTGTTTAGATGCCTTGTCAAAGGGCATGTAGCTAAGTGGTGGAGGGAAGATGTTTGCTTTTGATTCAAAGTGTGCCAATATATGTTCACTGAAGAACTGAATTTAGCAGAGAATTAAACTGACATTCCTGAGAGGTGAATTGTGGAGTCACTGGCAGAGGTGGGACCCAAGCTCTGGGAAGGGAGTTTGTTATGGAGCCCTGGCTCTTTTGGCAGGGAAATGTGATAAAAGCTATGGCCTTTCCTTCCAGAAAGTGCATGTTTCCTGACAAAGGAGACTTTGTGCATGATTTCAGGAGGTTCACGGGCTACTGCCCCAAATTCCAAACTCCTCTGTGATCCCCAGTGAAGAACTTGGCTGTGTAGTGGACACGGAGTCCCACAACCTTGGTGAGTTTTAAGTCTCAGTTTCCCTACTCTGAAGACCTCTGCCATTGTGAGCCCCTGAGTCAGCCTCTCTCAGTGGGCTGGCTCCCTGACCCATATATTCCCGCCCAGCTGTTAACCCCTGTGACCCTCTCCACCCCCTGCCGTCAGCCTGTATCTCCAGACTGTTGGTTGAGTCCTGGGTTGGTTAAGAGTCCTGGGCGTGCATAGGAGCAGAGGTATTTGTGGCTCAGTGGCAGGGGTCCAGCGTCCTTGGTGGGTTTGAAATAGCAAAGTGATATTTGAGAGGGCTCTCCTTGGATGTGCTGAGCTGAGGTTCCTGCCAGGCAGGGAGTGTCCGTGCCTGC